ATACTAATTATTGCTCTGCTACCTACTGCTAAAGAAATATTTATTCATGCAGATGATGAGTCACAATAACGTGGCTGGAGAATGTTGACCAAATCAATTGAGTTTTCGGGTTACGAGCTGTCTCCAGGAACGGATAAAACTCTTAAACTGAGGTACCCCTGTACTGTGAGACGCCCTGACGACGCCGATGCAAAGAGAACCACTTCCGGAGGCCTGAACGTCTGGCAAAGCCAACTGAACAAGTTGGCGTCGACTGTCCAAACCATGGAAAGGGGAACGAACTGGGACGGGCTGTCCACCAGGACATTGGACACCCCCCAAACATGAACCGCCAGTGAGAGCCAAATCCAGAGAACCTAGCATATGAGTCACCCGAAGCGACCAGCCCCAAAGAGTCAAGGACCACAGCGAACCCTGGCGGTTCAGGCAATGAACCACCGACGAACAGTCCGAATGGAGCCAGATTGTTGATCCGCGAGCAACCCAAATCCTCCGGAGCATCCACACAGCTGCAAACTCCCGCACTGTGCTGTGAGCCTGACGGAAGGACAGACCCCACCGTCCCTGGCCGGCTTGGTGAGCACTGGTCACAAAGCCCCAGCCCATAGACAACATGTCCGTGAACACATCGAGCGAGGGCTCGGGTAGGTGCCACGGCACTGAACCCGGAAAATCCTGAAGAGGAAGTCCGCGACGCAGCAACTGACGCAAAGCCCCCAGGACGCCGAACCCAGCGGTCACGAGAGAGGTGGAAGGGATGTCCCCGAAAGAACCGGAACAGCTGACGAAGCCACACCCGACCCGGTGGGTAGACCATCATGGCAAAGTTCAGGCTCCCGCACAAACCTTCAAGCAACTGCTGCGTGACCCGGGAACCCCTCAGAAACAGATGAAGGCAGGAACGCAGGCAAAGCAGAACCGGTTGAGGAAGAGACACGGACGCGGTCCAAGCTTCCCACACAAGACCCAGCCAAGACCAAACCTGAGAGGGAACCTGATGGGACTTCCGCCAGTTCACCAAGAACCTGAACCCGGCAAGCTGGGAAAGAACCAAATCCCTGGCGAGCAGACACATGGATTGGTTGGGAACCCAAACCAGCCAATCGTCGAGGTAAGCCAGCACCCAAACACCTAACAGATGCAAGCTGGCCACCATGACCTGAGTAAAGCGGGTGAAAACGTGAGGCGCCAGATTCAAGCCGAATGGAAAGCAACGAAAGCGGTAACCTCGATGCCCCACAACAAAACCGAGCCAGTCCCTTAATCTCGGATGAATCGGGACATGCCAATATCCATCCTTGAGGTTCAGGGACACAATCTAAGCATCTGGCTCCAACAGAAGATGGACCTGGGACAGAGTAGTCATCCGTCATCCTGTCTGAACCTGTGGGTTCAGACAGGATAAGTCCAGAATGAACTGGAGGTCTGCAGAGTCCCGTTTCGAGACTGGAAACGGGCAAGAAACCCACCTGAGGGATGAGGTCGTTTCGACCACTCCCAAGCAAACCCACTCCGAGATAACCCAACAGAGCGCAGGAGAAGAGGCCTGCCCAGCCAGCCCCAAATCCCCCGAAGGAGTTGGAACAACCACCCAACGTCACCGCAGGCCGCATGAAACGACCCGAAAGACCCACAAATCGTGGGACCAGGTGCGAGCAAACAGAGCAAGCATTCCCACAGAGCAAGACGAGCCGCAAAAGGGCCCCGCGCTGAACAGAAACAGACGGCACCAAAGGCTGCACTGGCGCCGAATCTAACACTGGCCTACCACGACTGAAAGAACCCCAAGCCCTGGCACGACCCCGCCGGGAAGGCCCCCCATGAGCCTCCCCGAGGAAGATCAACAAATACGACATAGGATGGCAACTAGCCAAAGCTGCCTGTAGATACTGCACAACTGCAGACTTCGCAAACAGCAACGAACAAAAAGGTGAAGACAACTTAAGAGCCCAAGCGGATTCCATGGAGAAGCGAGCATCGCCTGCTGACACGTGAATTGAGAAGCAAAAAACTGCGAAACCGCATCCCGCAGGAGTGGTGTGAACAGCTTCAACAATGCAGATGACGCACACGCCGCCGAGGGCAACACACCAGACCCAGAGGCGTCCCCAAGCTCCTCCACATCCACCTCAAGCCAGTCCGAGGACAGCTCAAGGAGAGAGAAAAAACGCAGGGCCGAAGCCAGCAGAACACACGTACGCAAATCCTCCACGACCAATGCAGCTGAAAGGGAAGGAATCTGCACATGAAGCAGCATCACACCAACATCTTGCAGAAGGGCAGGGGCAAACAAGCACGCATCGAGATGCTCAACTTCGCCCTCCAGTAAAACATGCAATGCCATCTGAGCCTCCTGCCACTCAAGCGTGCAGGATCTACAGAACGTATGACACGCCTCCAAAGAGAAGAGAGGGCAGTCTGCTAACCAGGACACGAAGGAACGTGGATCTATCACGAAAGCATAATCCAGGTTGCGCAGGAGGTAAGCCACAAGGACTTCCCGCACCACATGGGATGGGACGCGAGAAGCCGAAAACCTCTGGTAGGACGGAACTGAAGAACTGCCGGGGTTCCGAAACTGAACCCGGCAAGGGGTAGATGCCAAATCCAATTCGTACGAGGAGGGAGCAAAAGAGAACCCCACTCCTTGTAACACCAAGCCCCGCTCCAAGGGTACAAAAACCCAAGCGGGGTCCAATTGGGCCCAAGGCCCCCAAGTCAACCCCTCCCCCACCCCGGGAAGCTCACCCCAAAAACCCGGGGCCGAGCTATCCTCCAAACCCCTTTTCTAAAGAAAAGGCAGAAGCTGCCGAAAAAGCAGGAACGAAGGGAGCCCACTGGTCAGACCCAGAAGCTCGGCTGGAGGACCAGTCTCGAATGCCTCTGCCGCCACCCCAGAGGGGGACTTACCCAGAGATCGCCCGAGTTTCAACACCAACTAGATCCTGCCCTGACTCGGAAACCCTCAGACACTTTGGAGCCAGAAGCAAGGGGGAAGGAACCAGATGAACAACAGAAGGGGGAAGGATAAGGAGGGGGTAGACGAAACCAAAGTCGAAGTGACTCCCACCCCCAAGTCCAGGTCCCTAAAACCAAAACAGTGCAGTCTCGGGGCAACCGGGGAAACAACCAACCTATCGCGTTGCAGCAACCTGAACCTAGCATGCAACGCAGCTGCTGCCTGCACCTTCATATCATGATTAGTAGCTTGGGTGAACTGGAGTATGTACAAACAACAAACATCACACGACACTGTGAGTCAAAGGAATCACCGGCCCAATAGGCAGCATGGTGGAGGCACAACCAGTGATTGTCACCCTGAGACAAGGGGACAGGGGCAACCCATCAACCTCGCACGAGGCGAAAGGGGGGACTCAAAAGTCGCATCCATCAGACCATGGAGCCCCTGTGGGATTTGCTAGGGCCCTTAACCTTGGTAACACGCTAAGGGAAGCCCACGCAAGGTACTGTGAACCGGTGCCCAAGACTATCAAGCAAACATCTAAAAGCTGAACTTCCAGGACGTGTCCACTCAGGGGGGCCTAGGAGGGGATACCACCAAGAACACAGATACGTATATATAAATACCCTAAGTATAGATAGGGGGCAACCAACCAAAGGCAGACCCCCACCAGGCAGGAAAACAAACAAAAAGAAAAACCACGCAAGAGGACAACATACCCAGGCGTAACAGAGCCGGCCGCTATAATAGGTAATAACTAGATGTGCAGTACCCTGCGCCCCTACCACTGATGAAAACTATCTCCTACCCAGAGGCAAACAAGGGCAACAAAAGCCCCAGCTGACTCCAAGGGCAGCCAAGTACCGAGCAGTAAAAGACACAACAGAGGTAGATCCCAAGGCAACTTGTGGAAGGTGGCCCCCCAAGACCCAAGGACAGTACTTGCAGTGCACCTAGGAAAGAAAACCCTAGGTGCATGCAGCCCGAGTACCGTAGAATATTACTTCTGGCTCGCACACCACGTGTAGAGACAGACCATGCCACAAGGCACAGAAACTGAGATAAAATCAGGAGCCAGAGGCACATGACCTCGCCAATAGCACATCAGCCAAGAACTGAAGGGTGGATTGCCGGCGTGAGGGTCTGGGGCTTCCCCTTTCCCCTCTTGGGGAGATGGGGGGACGAGGAGTTGCTCAGACAGCAGCGCGGCAACATGACGACATCATGCTCGTTTGCTAATTTTCATTTGGGGAGTTCTGTACACTTGTTCGGCTTTTGGTAGCAAAATTTTCACCAGAATAGGGGTTTGTTTTGGGGTTTGTTTCTTTCTGGGTACCAGACCTGGTCGATGGCAGATATAGAATGCTCCCAACCATACTGGGGTTTCTACAGCCTCCTCCTTTCTATAGGTTTCTATATTGCTCCTCGTGCCTCTCTAAAGGGGCCAGGTTCTGGCTCGTGGTCCCTGGTACTGACTAACACCCAGGTACCTATTTTACTGCTAGGTAACAGGAGCATAGGGTGAAAGAAACTCTGCCCATTGTTTCTCGCCGGCGCCTGGGATCGAACCCAGGACCAAAGGATCACAAGTCCAGCGTGCTGTCCGCTCGGCCGACTGGCTCCCCAGCAAGCAAGAACAAGTAAGCAAGAACTTCCTGCACATTGACTAATGCCAGAAAGCTAATACGTATATCCATATCAGCCTGGATATATTTCTGGGGGCAGCCAACGGGGCTCCCAGCCCCCCCCCCCCAGAAAAGCAGAAAAATATAAGGGCATGAGAGGCTCCAATGGACGGGTTAAAACATTAAGCATACAGTATAATATAATATGCTCAGAAATATAAGCACTGAATATAATGAAATGACCATTTTTTAAAGGCCTTTGGAAGCGACAAGTTGCAAACATGCAGGTCAACTTCCAGAAGCCACGGGATCAACACTCAGACCAGGATATGTTTAAGAAGAAAGCTGCAAGGCTAGGAAAATGCAATTTACTATGAATGTAATACAGTTACTCAAAATTCTAGTTGCCTAACCTGGCTGTGCTGGTTGGTAACCAGGCAGTGTGCTGAGAGCAGCTAGGAGAGCAGCAATGACTGCTAAGCCCCCATGTACATGGAGTTCACAGCAATCCTCTCCAGTGAAGCTGTGAGGACCAGGAAACCACAACACTAACCCTTGATCCAATCCCTCACCTGGCATAAATAAAAAAAAAAAGTGTTAAACGAGTTCAGTAGTGCAGCAGCTATATTTTCTTCGTATTACATGTATCTAAATATACAATGTTTTACTAAAACAGTCCATTCTTCAATAACATGTAACCAAGAACTTGGTAAGATCTCAACAGTTTCACAAGGTTTTTTGTCATATTTGTAAAAATGTATTTGCAAAGCTTACTGAACAATTACAAACAACAAAAATTTAAAAATGTAAAAACTGAACAATTACAAACAACAAAAATTTAAAAAAAACAGTAAAAGAAAACATTATCATTATTAATCATTATCCCACTATCATGGGGTGAAGAAGCCCACTGAATTCTGTACTGAACTGAGAAAATGGAAGAAGAACATAAGAAAGGTAAAGGTATTCCATTCATGTTCATTGTATAACCCACAATAGCTGAAGGCTGTACCACAGGATGGTTAGCTGTGGTTGGCTTTTCCTAAATACCCAAATTTCCTCATGTATTGTCATTAGGTGACTGTCTTTCCAATTGACTGCAAAAATTTCTCCAGATATCTGCAATTTTATGTCATCATTTTTTTCTCAATAAGTTGGGTATTTTCTCTCAAGATAGAGACAGTACAATACCACATGACCTTGTGATATTTTTCAGCAAACAGGCACTAAAAAGATTTTGTATACCAGTTATCTGAACAAAGTATACTGTTTGTACTTTACATAATCTGACAACAGTTTCTTCACAACAGTTCTAGAAAAGCTGAGGGCATTCCATGTAATATCAATGGTTGTTCCTTTATATAAAATGGAGTCCAAAATAATATCAATTTTGCAATCACACAAAACAAATAAGTTCTGGGCTAAACTTGTGACATTTGGCCCTAATGTATTAAAAGTAAGTAACCCAAATGAATATTATTTAGGGTTTGAACAACACAAGAGACTCGTCAATGTTCTATTTCCAAAAGAATAAGTAAATTGACACAAACTTCTTGTTGACACACATAAATACCCCCGCAGCAGTAGCTAATGTCTTCCCTGCTTGAGCACCACAAGGCACTTGTGCTGTGCAGGGAACCACACCTGTGCAGGGCAGGTGAAGACAAATCCTCAAGGTTTCTTTCAGGTATACCAGACAAAGATTAGGAAGCAGATTGGGCCATTGAAAAATGAGACATATCATGTAACAAATAAAAATACAAGAAATGGGTGGTACTCAAAATAAGTTACTTTTTTTTTTTACCTGCAGCTGATTATTATTTTTACCTGATTATCTAACAAATCAACAGATGATGATGAAAGGACAAGTTTACTAGTTTAGTGGTTAAAAAGTGAGGAAGTCATTAAATGAATAGAAAACTAAAACCAAAGTCCAAAAAGCTGGACAAAGTATTTGTGTGGATCCTTAAAAAATTAAAATATGAGCTTAGTGAGCCCCTTGTCTTGCATATTTAATCAATCAGCCAATATGATTAATCCTATCAGTACACTGTAATGCTATAGTAAGTCCACCAGTAGGAACCTCTGGTGGGCCAATAGGAACTACGGTACCTACAGTACAGCAGTAAGGACAAAATATATTATAACAACAGAATAATAGAACTGCTCCCAGAATTGGCAGAAATAAAATTGAAAAAATTACCAGTGAGAGGATGAATAATTTTTCTGAGGGTGGCCACACGAGGAGATGGGAGCGTCGCCGGCTCTGTCATGCGCGAGAAGACGTCTGAAGCCCTGTCACCCGTCACTCTAAGTACAGCAACACCACATTTACCTTGTCCTAAAGATAAGAATTACAGCTCTTAACTTAACCCATCCTCAATCTATTGAAATGTACTGTATTGTACTTGTCTGGGCAAGTACAAATACTGTACTAGTATGACACATTAAATAGTGACTACCGGGTCACCGGTAAGTACATTTTTGTTTATTTTTTATACAAAAATAGTGCATCGAGTGGAATGAAATGTTTCTAAGCTGCTTGTCTTATTTTTTTCAGCAAGCAGTATCTCTCTCTGGTGGTCTCCACAGTACTTCTCGCCCAATATACTATGCAACGAGGCCATTTTGAAAAGTTACTTGTCTTGGTGTACCCATAGTACCCACCAAGGGCCTGGCATGTTAACAATGACCTGGCTGGCTGAGGAAAACAGCTGAAGGAGCCAATACTCAGGGAAGGTTTTGTGCATATAGTGTTAGCTAAAGGTTAGGTTAAGTTGTTTGTTTTGCTTTAGATTTTGTACAAAATTAAGCCTAGATTAAATTTAGCTAAAAGGCTTAATAAAGTTAACATATGTGCATTTATGTAACAGCTTGAACCGAGTGATGTATGACGTTAACCAAAGCTTTTAACTAAATCAAGTACAGTATCTGCAAATACTGCACTGTTTGACATTGCTTGCCACTAATAAGTAAATTTTAACTTGTTGAAAAATTCATCCTTGAGATCATGCATATTAGCCCACTCATGTTAAATCAAAAGGCAATTTAAAAGGCAAAAAGGTGACAATTTATCATCATCCATCCACTATAACAGCTGCCTGCATTATCTAATAAAACTGGCATCTTGAGACCTACTATTTTAAACAACAATGGAACTTTGACCCACTTCTCATAAGGATTGATAAAACGTAACAAGTGTCGCACTGTACTTACATTCTGCCATAAACATGTTTCACAAGCTGCCTCTACCCCTAGTTGTTTTCCCTTCACAATAAACACATTCATAATATCAAAAGTAGATATGATAGAAAAATAAGCCAGGAGTCATCGCATTAGACAACCAGCAGCTGAAAAGGCTGGGGTCCCAGATCAAAAGTTCAATCTAGTAGGAGCAAATATGTGACAAATAGGAGAGTACAGAAACACACTGCTCTGGATAACCAAACTAGTTCCAGTAGTTGGTCCCCAGAACTAAATCCAAATAATATAAAATATAGCACAGTAGGACCCCAACACACCTGATGACAAAGCATACACAGTGGAAGCATACCGATGGGTCTTAATCCACCGGCTGACTCTAAGTAGTGCACGATGCCATGCCAGAGGTCGTTGCATTAACAAAAGCATCCTTCTCAAGACCCTGCTTAACCTTTAATTCTGGAAAAAAAAATCTGGTTAAAAAGTGTCAAAATACAGTACATAAAAATCAAATTAATTGCAGAAGGCCTACTGGCCTATGCGAGGCCACTCCTATCTATACACGACCAAACTCAATCATATATATACACTAACACTTGAAATAATCCAGTGATCCCATGTATTGTGTTACCAAGTCATTTTGTCATTTCTGTACTCAATTATGTGATCATGTTAACCATTATATTGACATTTTAATTCAAATTTGTGCTATGATTGAGTAATCTTCTCTGAAAGGTGTTTAAATATAGATTCATACCAGGTCAGTGGTCGTTTCATCTGTCATTTACCTAATGCTAGCCTCCTCTATATCTATGAATGTATATACAGTATATAACACTCAGTATTGACCATCATTATTGCTGCAGTGTCAGACAAATTACAGGTGCAGAGTTTAAATTGTGATTAATGGCAATTAATATTTTTAACATGCAGTAAAGGTAATTAAAGTGCACAGTTTGCATGAAGGTCAGATGCATAAGGTTATGTGCCCAGGACAAGAGGGTCAGCAGGTCAATCCAATTTACATTATTTTTTTCCCCCTAGGCTCTAAGGGTAAAGCATTATAGAGAATTATAGCTTACATTATTCACAGCTAATCATTAAGTCCAGCAGTTCAAAAAGACTCATTTTCCATGGACTTTTCACACGCAAAGACACCATCGCATCACACTATGGGATTTTGTTTATGTTACCATAATTTGCCATACACATCTGCGCTATTTGTTTGTAAATATTCTGTTTTCCTGGTTGATAGCAGGGGATCCATAATTTTGAAAATAGCAAGGTACAGTTTACTGTATTTTTAAAAGTAGCAGGTTGTGATGCTAGGAGTAAGAGACTCGTGTAAAAGTAGCAGGCCATTGGTATTTAATTTAATGAATAAACAAACAGGTGTTATAGGGTAGATAAGATAAACAGTACTTGACACCAGCCATCTTTTAACAGCACTCCTCTCAGACTGGACTGAAATGCAATATTTACAAAGTAGCTAGACAACAATTGTTTAAACTTTAAGGTGTTTAAAAAATGCACTAAGAGAATGAATAATTCTTCTGAGGGAGTAAAGTTCACAAACTTTAGTTAAAAGGTATCAACCGGACATAAGGAGAAACCTTGTACTGAAACAGTATTAATTAAGGTCACAATTAAAAACAAAGCAAGACATTCTCATAGGGTTTTATCTTCATGTCTGATGATTTTTTGGAAGATGAATTTCATATAATTTTCAAAGCCTTCACTGGATTAAAATGTCTTCTTTACAGCTACTTAATTCTTAGAGAAGAAAAATACATAAGAAAATTATGCTACTTTTTATCAGCATAATTACTCTTTAATTACTAATTAAGTGTTTAATAGACAGAATTCTTTAGTTTAATAAAATATCTTCCCCACACTAAACGCCGCCAGTGTTATCAATCCATCTTCAGTTAATATAACTTGATAAAGAAAAAGATACAAAGACAATATGAAAGAGTAATAGGCATGTATTTGATACCATATGGAGTGACAAAATGTTCAACATGTGAGTTTCTGGAGCTTTGATAAGTGCACTTACTAATTGTGCCTACAGTACTTTATGGACACAATGACTAGTGTAATGCCCGTGTATCAACTGCACTATACAAAAACATGGTCCAGAAAGAAGCAGAGTAATCATCAGTAATGTCAGTCGAGTTCCTTAACATTGTTATTGCAACAAATTGGTAATAAATAGAGAAAGATGAGAGATGAAGAACAGCACAGAGGGAGGAAGAGGGTGATGGAGAGAGGGGGAAGGGTAGTGGAATGAGTTCCATGAAAGGAAAAGTGTAGAAATAGAGCATGGGATGAAGTATCTACTTGATCCCATGGGTAGACTTTGAGAGAGGGAAAGAAGGGGGAAGAGGAGAGAGAGAGAGTATAAGGAGCAGAAAAATTTGTAGAAATTATAGAAGGTAAAGGTAGAGCTGCCACCATCCATTAATTAGTTCACCAGACAAGGAATGGAACTCGTCTCTGTTCAACAGTTAATAAAATAAATATTAACAGTTAAGAAACTACAACCACATAAAGCATAAAATAAATTATCAAGTCTTTCATCTCTGGTAAGCAATCTTCAGAGTGCTCTTCACTCTAGCTTTCATCAGTTCAGAAATTGATCTAAGATCTTAGGTGGGATCTGTATTTAAGATAATTAAAAATGACAAAGAGATTATTCATTTATTATTGATGTTCATAGATAATTATATCCCTTGACTTTCCCCATATCAACACTAATTCAGAATCAGAGTCACTACACAAGAAATTGAGAGCAATACAGCTCACTGCCCCTATAAATTTCACAACATATAATTTAGGAAACACAGAATGCATCACCTTATAATCCAAGCCGTCCTCCTGTTTAGATAGTAGTTTTTATAAATATGTATTCACCAAAGTACAACTATTGATGTACAGTACTAAGCAATTAGATCATAGAATTTGGTAGTATTCACTTTATCGAGTCCAAAAAAAATGAAACTAAAAGCAAACTTAAATATTCCTAGACCTAGCATAGCACACATATGTACTATATTAAGTCTCAGATAGCATGCATTAGGCCTAGGAAGGTTAGTAAAGGTTGTCGTTACAACAAATACAAAATCTTTTCCAGTTTGTCCAAAGTCATTAGTACACATTTCCTACTTTCTAATTGCATTGTATGTCGATATGTGTATTATGGTCCACATCATTACTGTAAGTACTACCAAAACAGGAGGATGGGCTGTACACTCAAACTCACCAAGGTCTCTTGAGTACAAGTGGGTTAGAGACGGGGGATAGTACTGCTAACAGTCAAGGTACATAAGGAGGAACCAAGTGAGGATATCAGGAGGAACAAGTGAGGATATAAGGAGGAACCAAGTGAGGATATCAGGAGGAACAAGTGAGGATATAAGGAGGAACCAAGTGAGGATATCAGGAGGAACCAAGTGAGGATATAAGGAGGAACCAAGTGAGGATATAAGGATGAACCAAGTGAGAATATAAGGATGAACCAAGTGAGGATATCAGGAGGTTACCTTGAGGTGCTTCAAGGGGCTTAGCGTCCCCGCGGCCTGGTCGTCGACCAGGCCTCCTGGTTGCCGGACTGATCAACCAGGCTGTTGGACGCGGCTGCTCGCAGCCTGACGTATGAGTCACAGCCTGGTTGATCAGGTATCCTTTGAAGGTGCTTATCCAGTTCTCTCTTGAACACTGTGAGGGGTCGGCCAGTTATGCCCCTTATGTGTAGTGGAAGCGTGTTGAACAGTCTCGGACCTCTGATGTTGATAGAGTTCTCTCTCAGAGTACTAGTTGCACCTCTGTTTTTCAACGGGGGTATTCTGCACATCCTGCCATGTCTTCTGGTCTCTATGTGATGTTATTTCTGTGTGCAGGTTTGGGACTAGCCCCTCTAATATTTTCCACGTGTAAATTATTATGTACCTCTCCCGCCTGCGCTCAAGGGAGTACAGTTTTAGGCTCTTTAGTCGGTCCCAATAGTTTAGATGTTTTACTGAGTGGATTCTAGCAGTAAAGGATCTCTGCACGCTCTCCAGGTCAGCAATTTCTCCAGCTTTGAAAGGTGCTGTCATTGTGCAGCAGTACTCCACTCGAGAGCACAAGCGTTTTGAAAAGTATCATCATCGGTATAGCATCTCTAGTGTGAAAAGTTCTTGTTATCCAATCTGTCATTTTTCTTGCAGTTGTGATGGCTACTATATTGTGTTCTTTAAAGGTAAGGTCTTCCGACATGAGTACACCCAGATCCTTTACATTGCCTTTTCGTTCTATGTTATGATTTGCCTGAGTTTTGTACGTGGTTTCCGTTTTTATATTTTCATTTTTTCCATAGCGCATGAGCTGGAACTTATCTTCGTTAAACACCATATTATTTTCTGTAGCCCATAGAAAGACCTGATCTACATCTGACTGGAGGTTCGCCGTGTCCTCTATGTTGCCTACTCTCATGTAGATCCTAGTGTCATCTGCAAAGGATGATACAGTGCTATAGGTTGTGTTCTGGTCTATGTCCGATATGAGGATGAGAAAAAGTACTGGAGCCAAGGAAGGAACCAAGTGAGGATATAAGGAGGAACCAAGTGAGGATATAAGGAGGAACCAAGTGAGGATATAAGGATGAACCAAGTGAGAATATAAGGATGAACCAAGTGAGGATATCAGGAGGAGCCAAGTGAGGATATCAGGAGGAACCAAGTGAGGATATCAGGAGGAACCAAGTGAGGATATAAGAAGGAACCAAGTGAGGACATAAGGAGGAACCAAGTGAGCATATAAGGATGAACCAAGTGAGGATATAAGGAGGAACTAAGTGAGGATATAAGGAGGAACCAAGTGAGGATATAAGGAGGAACCAAGTGAGGACATAAGAAGGAACCAAGTGAGGACATAAGGAGGAACCAAGTGAGGATATAAGGAGGAACCAAGTGGGAATATAAGGAGGAACCAAGTGAGGATATAAGGAGGAACCAAGTGAGACCATAAGGAGGAACCAAGTGAGGATATAAGGAGTAACCAAGTGAGGACATAAGGATGAACCAAGTGAGGATATAAGGAGGAACTAAGTGAGGATATAAGGAGGAACCAAGTGAGGATATAAGGAGGAACCAAGTGAGGATATAAGGAGGAACCAAGTGAGGACATATGAAGGAACCAAGTGAGGACATAAGGAGGAACCAAATGAGGACATAAGGAGGAACCAAGTGAGGATATAAGGAGAAACCAAGTGAGGATATAAGGAGGAACTAAGTGGGAATATAAGGAGGAACCAAGTGAGGATATAAGGAGAAACCAAGTGTGGGGTATAAGAAGGAACCTCGTGAGGATATAAGGAGTAACCAAGTGAGGACATAAGAAGGAACCAAGTGAGGATATAAGGAAGAACCATGTGAGGATATAAGGAGGAACCAAGTGAGGATATAAGGAAGAACCAAGTGAGGATATAAGGAGGAACCAAGTGAGGATATAAGGAGGGACCAAGTAAGTATATAAGGAGGAACCAAGTGAGGATATTAGGAGGTACCAAGAACTAAGCTCTGCCTACCGGATAGCCACTGGCTATCATGCTGTCACACCTAGACAGCAGCTTATTTGATGGAAAGACACAAGCAACCATCTGCAATTATCAGCGAAGCAGAGGGCAAGGTCACCTTACACGACCTGATCTTTGCCCAACATGTGAACATTAGTGCCTCAAAAGGTGTAATTTTGCTATTTTTAAGGACCAACAGGCTGTTGCCACTCAATTCCTGTGTGAACTGAATCTACTTGTATCAGGTAATATATTATATAAAACCATGTATGGTGTTACAGTATCTCTCTATGTTAGGTAAAGACTTTCAAGGTTTGCAGGGGCTGCTTATACTATGAATTACATTAGTTCATAATGGGCTCAGGCACCGAATTCCACAATTCATTAAGCTAAGCAAGTTAAGTTTTGATGAAATTGACTGTTACCATCATTAACAAATTTTGTTGCATTTGTGTCTAACTTCAGACACGAGCATTACATACAACCATTTCTTACAATAACATATATTACTGTCGTGTATTTTTGCTCATTCATCACATTATATACAAGTCGGTTTGCCAAGGGATTTATTAAACTACCTAACTTAACCTAGCTCAACCTAACCAACACCAACCCTAAAGAAGGATGTACATCAAACCAACCTGACCCAATACAGCCTAACCTAAGCTCATATATCTTAGCATAACAATATATACGCTTTTAATAACCAGAAATCGAGCTTCAGCGAGTCCTCTCATGTGGAAAACATCACCCAGGTCGGTGCGCCCATATTTGTTGTTGTTGATGGTTTAGGGGCAGCTACAGCATTCAATATGGTCTCCTTCAGCGCCTTCAGCAGCCAGCACATCTGCTCGTACTATGCCTCTTCAACGCAAGCAGAGCTAACTGCCATTGTTATGGCGTTAAGGTTTCTTGAACGGAACACTAATGGTGCAGTGATTTGCACCGATTCAAAAGCAGCACTGCAAAGCCTAAGTAAAAATCAGGCAGAAAATCTTGCAATAGTCGCTGAAATCAAGAGAGCTGTGAGAGTACTTACCAATCAGGGAAGAGTCATCAAGTTTCTGTGGATCCCCTCCCATGTTGGAATATGTGGGAATGAACGAGCAGATGTGCTGGCTGCTGAAGGCGCTGAAGGAGACCATATTGAATACTTCATACCCAAGACTCAACTACAAATTAGAGGTATTATCAGGCAACATCACCGTGACAAGGTAACTGAGGAAAGGAGGATAGAAGCACAAACCAGTGAATCTGTACGATGGTACAACATGGTTGCAGCTGGCAATCCCAATCAGTATGGCCGAAGAGGAGGACGACGAGTGAGAGAATCTGTAATAGCGAGAATCCGTCTTGGATACAAATATCCATGGAGATTTGGAATGGAAACAACAGTTGATCAGCGAAGTTGCAGAATCTGTGGTGAGAGTGATGGACACCGCCTTGACCACTATCTACGTGAATGTGAACACCTGAGAGACATTAGGAATAACTGTAGAATAATAAACCCCACATTGTTTGAGTTAGGAAAACACTATTTGTCAAATATTGATACTGTTCTTAAAAGATTTCCCCATTTTGCACCCGCAAGATAACGTAAGCTTTTAAGGGTTGATAAATGTTAATCTTCTTGTTTGAGGAGCTGTTCACTTGAGACAGTTAAGCAAGTCCCAGCTGTGTCTGGGTACAAGTGACAGGATGAACAACCCAGCGGGTTTTCTTCCTATTGGGGAGTGTTGTACATTCTGCTATGGCGGTATGTTCACTCACAAGATGAGTGGCGCTGCCCAATAAACTCGCCCCTCGGGGCAAAATTTAAATTTTACTATATGTATATATATAGTAAGTGTGTCAAGCGAGGGGTCGCGCTCCCAGACGCCCGCTATCGCCTCACACTCCACTCAATAGATGGCGCTCAAACCACATGGCTTGTAATATAATTTACTGCATTATGTTATAATATAGTATTACATTATTATATAGTATTTAATTTTAGTTTAGTAGTATTATTTTAATTGTACTGTACATCTATGTACTGCACTGAACATGGGTTGTAGTATATTTATGATTTATATATTTAACATTTAAAGATATGGTAGAGTGGGAAATGATAATGATACTAAAGTCTTACAGAGAGATCTACATGAACTACACAAATGATCAGAAGACTGGCAAATGCTTTTTAATATTGACAAATATAAGACCTTGCATGTGGGAGATAACAAGCCACAACTACCTAGTTAATAACATTACATTACAGCAGACTGATGAAGAAAAGGAACGTCAAAATCCACCACTCGATGAAAGTTGCACAGCAGGTAGGATCAGCAGTCAAAAAATCTAACCAAACCCTTGGAATAATCAAGCGTACTTTGGACTAAGGAAAAGAAGGTAGTGAATCACTTCGAATCCAGAGATTTATGTATAAATCTCTGGTTCGACCCCATTTGGATTACTGTATCCAAGCATTATGACCTCATCTTCAGGACATAACTGCTCTAGAAAAAGTGCAACACCGGGCAACAAAAATCATTCCAGAGCTAAGTCATCTCTCATATCTGGAATGGTTGAGGGCCACAGGGCTAACAACACTGTAAACCAGGCATGACAGGCTAGATCTCATTGGAACTTTTAATATACTGAACAATTTGGAGGATGTTGATCTGGACAATTTCTTCAAAATGTCAGATACATCACGAACACAGAGCAATGGTTTCAAGCTCAAGAAGCCACAATATACGACTGAAAACGGTAGATTCTTTTTCACCCACAGGGTTATAAACCCATGGAACTGCCTACCCACCAAAGACAAATGCAAAAAACTTAAATTTTAAAGCCAAACTGGAAAAAATCAAGACAAATGGGGGACCTTCAACAAGCCTTACAACAGCTTCCTGTTCTCGTCAAGGCCCTCGGATAAATCAGGTATAAATTATATTGTACAGGCTTTCCAGCTTAATCGTCACTGACCAGCGTTTATAACATTAAGCAAGAATTTCAGCCAATTGCAGGTTACTTACTTACAACAGATTTTCCTAAATATGAAAACATTTGTCTTCAAGATCATTAAATGCCTCCCATACCACATATATGCCAGTCGAGGCAGATAATTGTTTCTTCACCTAGTCATAGACTATCACGTGAAAGTCTTACCAATGATCAAGACTCCAACCTGCTTAGCTAAATTAACTTTGGGGCTCGAGGCCAAAAGTTTAAAAAAAGGGCACTTTTTAATGTTATAAAAGTGTGCCGATATGTTTAATTATATCTCATCAAGATTGTAACATGCTTATAGCATACTGGATTTGGGTATCAAGTCCTTGAGCCCATTATGTGCCTCTATATAACCTTTTCCACTACCACCCACAGTATGAGTATGCCCTACATAATAATAAACTGAAAAGAAAAACTACATATGCATCAAGCCATCTATAACAGTCAGTATTCTGGCATCCATCAGTTAGTGTAATAGACAGCCAAATACCATGATCACCATATAAAGGAAATGAATTGAGGTTTAATACGATGGTGAATATTGCCTTCCCTTGGATATACATGCTTGAACGGACTCCTGGTTTAACCTTGGTGACAAGTGGACATTTGGAAACCTGCTCTGCTTTGTCTTGATATTGTCATCAGGTATTCCTGTTCAATGGTCCGGATTGTTACAACGCGTGACGCAATTATCGTCTGGGGTCACAGAGCACCGCACCTTTCCTTTTATTTACCTTTTGATTCATTCCAAGTCAGGATCCATCGGAATATGGCAGCCCGTCCTCCAAACAAAGATCCAAAAGTGATTCCATGCACCCGCCAAACCCCCTGTTTATGAATGAAAAGCGGTTTACACATGACTCACAACTGCTGACGTTCGAACATATCCGGAACAAGTGTTTCACCGACGAATTTTGTTCGAATCACAACGCTATAAATGCTTCACCTACATACTACAAATACAAATAATCGCCAACAGAACCTAAACACCTAACCTATGCCTATATATGCACAACATGCTAATATATTATAATATTAATTTATACTTGAGAAAATTCCCGTTTTGAATGAACAGCATATTAAAATTTATGAATGCGTCTGTGGGGTCGACCGCTGGATGTAATGGACTCGAGTCGAGGACGGGTAGAATATGGACAACAATGTACAGTCCTATATGTACATTGTAATGTAGTGCCTGATGCCCCACAACACAACCTAGACCGTCCCTAAACCTGGTCCTTCCACGGGCACTCCAAGAAGCAATTGAAACGGCTTTCAACAAAATATGAGTAATTATTTCCATAGGATTCACCAAATTTTGATTCCCAGGACAAATGAGCATAAAGTACTTTAAACAAATTAGTAATGTCCTTACAAATAATTTATGCACTAAAATATTAAAGAAGTCATTTATATATCATTTAGTAAATATCATAACATGTTTTGCTCATCAAAGATTTGAAACCATGGATGGCAGTCCAAGTGGTGATATTATGTACTATTCTTTAAGATTAAAGTCAATTTTACCTCCCATATCATGCATGACTAATTGTGTGGAGCCATTATATAATCTAGTTGTCATTTGTGGCCCATACATACTTTTCCAGATACAGTACGTCTATGTGGCCATTACATAACCTAACCAAAGACATTTTCTACTTTTTGAGTGGCATAAAGGCTATGGTGTTCACTTGATGGCTACTGTGAATAACACATTACATACTTACAATCCTTCTTTCCTACGGTCGCAAATGGTATTATGAATGACAGGGGATAGAAATCAAAGTAATTACAGTAATTCATTTCTGGAAGATTGGAAAGGCAGGAATAACCTCTTTAGTGGATGCATCCATGCAGTCATTACAGGCAACTTCAATATGGCTGGCATCCCAACAAAACTAAGGTGTCTAATATCTACAAAATGCTAAAGATTAGCACGTAGCTTGATTCGGTCTTTGGACTGGACCTAAATGACCGCCTTACCAACATGTTTGTGCTGTACCAAGAGGAAATTTAAGGAATTTACTTGGCTCTATTTTATTATCTATGTAACATACCATTTATAGAACTCTCAGAATTAAAGTTCCCTAAATGCACTTAATACAAACTAACAGTCTCATAGAGAGCTTGTTCAGAAGGAAACATGGGCAACGGCTTTTGAACCACATATGAGGACTGCTGTAATATTTCATACATTACACTACACATGACAAAATTTTTAATGTAGGATATCATTGAAACGCATGTCACATTTCCATGAACAAATAATAATTCTAAATGAGAGCATTCAAACGCATTTTTAATGTCCCTTAATAAGTTGGTATGCTTAAAAAAAAAAAAAAAGAAGTTCCATAATACATTCCACACTGTATTATCACTGGAAATTGGCACTACTATACATTTCCACAGCATTTACAACAATTTATGGTTCCAATCAAGCCACCTCATGTGCACTGTCCAGATAAACAGTGCACCATGTTGTCATGGCCTTGCCGGGTCTGCTTAGTGTCTTATCGCTCTCCCAACATTCTTCTCATCAAATGGCCCTACTATTTTACCAACGCCTCAGTCTTAGAAGATGCACTCATTTGCATTCCCCCGTCATTGCATACCAGTAATGTTTCTTACTGTTTCTCCCACACCGCAAGTGTCGCCTCTGCTGCTTGTAACTATTTCTATCCCTCGTGCCCAACTGAAACCTTTGTGTTGTTAGCCACTTTCCTTCCTCTTTTCCAGCTATATTTGACTTGCACTATTTCCGCTTGTCAATTTCATCATCATCATCATCATCATCCATATCCTCGTCATCCTCATCATCAGCATTATCCTCGGGAACATGTCCACCACCACTGTTTCCCACTTTCATTGGGCGGGGAGCCACTTGCCTAGAGAAGATAAAAAAAAGAACATGGTTAAAGATATTCAAAATGACATCATTCCATTCACCACACCTTGCACACACTCATATATAAACAACAAATTCCATTACTTTTTCAGTCAATGATTTCACATAGTTAATATTTCTTGACTGCTGTCAACTCTCACTTACAGCCCTGATGTTTCACTTCAGGGAGCTCCCCATCAGAGGGCGTCACAGAAGTAGTTTCTCCTGGAGGTTCTTCACCACACAAACTTTTAAATCTTTCAGTCTCTTAAACCCCTCCGATGCCACCCTTCCTTTCATGCAGTTCCTATCTTCCCTTACAAAATGAGTTACCTGCCTTGACTTTATGAGTCCCATATTGAACCTTTGTACATACATCTAATTTAACTATCCTTTGCATATCACTAATTCTTCAAGATTTTGCATACCTGTACATCAAGTATTACATACACTTCATTTATCATAATTTCCATGCAGTTCCCCCTCTTCTCGATACTCTTTCCTACGGCCAACTTAAAACCCTTTCCATACAGTCCATTATTAACAATGGGTACATTACACCATGTTTGCAGTTCTATATCTAAGTCAAAGTTAATTACTTAATCTTACACATGCAGTTAGCTTAAATACACTGATAGGTGCATTAAACAGTAATGTTTATACTTCTCTAACATCCCACTAGAGTCCCATGACCCATTTTTGAATACACTGGCAATGTGGCTCTTTAAATCCTGAAGAAGACTGCCACTCTGCCAGGCCTTGTACCAACTTTTCCACACATTTAATTTCTTTAAGAAAAGTGCCAATACTGAGGATGAAACACAGGCACTAAACTCAGCCATTAAATATATGAATCATTGTATGAAATTCCAATTTGATAATGGGAAAGGACAAACTAAAATCATATTTTTTTATGACACATTTTTGATTTTAGCATTTATTACATTATTTTCTCTGCACTGCATATAACAATTTCTGCATGCACTTCATCAATAATCACTTCTCTACATTAAGTTTTAATGCATTGGGTTAATTCTATTAAGCTTTGGATCAATACTATTTCACTAACAGTGTAGACAACAAAGTTTTGAGATAACAGAAATCTCCACATTGCTTAATTGCATTAAGCTACGTGCTGAGTCTTATTTGCATTAAGCTAAGTGGTGAAAGTCTTAATTGCATTAAGCTATGTACTTAAAGGCTTAATGCAATTAAGACTGTTAGCATAAAAATGAAAGAATATTTGACAAGCTTGGCTAATGACAAAATGTCTATGCAGGTTACTGGCTGTCAGCACCTTTACTAAACAGGGAATACTCCACAAACTTCTGAATTTATTTCCTTATCTACAAATATTCAGTGGACTCAAGACTGCTAAAGTCCAAGCTATGCAATTATTTCATTTATATTTTCTGCCCTCACTTTTGCTACTTAGTTGAATCTCTATCTGATAACTTATCAGAATTATAGGGACACCTAATACCAATTCCAAACATAGTAGACTGATCTCACTCTTGACTTTCTTTTTCGCGCTCAAATTTGGCGATTTCAGCTTCCAGGAGCACACAAGCTTGTTCTATCTCGTAATTCCGGGAGACGAGCGATACCCAACTACTCTCAAGGTGACGTAACTCTTCCCCTGCCTTCGTCTGCATGCTCTTTCTTGACCAGTTAAGTTCCTGGATTTCTTTCCTGTTATGATGAAATATATTAATTATGAATTATATTTATTTATATTTATATATTTAATTATATTTATATTTATAATTATAATTATTATAATATGAATTAGAATAAAATAAATTTAAAAGGTTAGCAATACAGTACAATACTACTGTATATTCAGGAGAATTCCAGTGAAACAAAAATACTGTAAAATAATTTAACAGGACATGACAGTATGTTATAAATGATTTATGTTGAAACCAATTAGTCAATTACTGCCCTTCTTGAACCCACTAGTATGCTCACATTGGCTAAAATACAGTGCAAGAGGATCCAAATGGTTTTTTGCATTTTTTGTAAAAGTAATAACAAGAACTTAGACAGTTGTCTGGAACATCTGCTCAGTATAAGTACACATTGTACTCCAAGGAACATGTAGTCACTAATGTATAAAATGGAAGACAAGCTCAGTTTAAATATACATCTTGCTGGGAGTTGGCCTTTTAGACTGGCTTGTCATAGCAGAGGACATATCTTACACATGCATTACAGCTGGAATGAATAATGCAACATGTGCTAAAAAGCAGTAAACAAAACACAAGCAGAAGACAGCTGTATGAGAATTACATAACTTATAGTAACATCATAGATATACAAGTATAAAACAATATACTTCATCCAATGATTGCAGACAAATTACACCAATGAAAAGAACTTTAAAATGGTAAAACCAACCCTCTTTAATAAGCCCATTTAAAAATTAGAACAGAACTATATAGTAGTCCTAACATTATTAGTATATAAATATTCACCTCTAAACTTGATACCCACATGCTTGCTTGCCAATATGACAAGAACGTTACTGTGAGAGATAAAACAGCACAGCATCTGGGACCCCCACTTACTTGCACTCCTGCAGCTGTGCTTGAGAGCGGGTCAACATGTGCTGCAGCACGTTGTTGTGAGCCTTCCAAGCCTCCGAGCCAAACTCGTTCATCAGTTCCAGGTTCATAATTCTGCCAAGACACACCTTTAATAAGTTCATTTCCGATATATATAGGAGATAAATAATACAAGTGGATTTTGACACGATATTTTCAATGCAAAGAATTTGTAATACTTTATAATCATATCTATTCTTAGGCAGACGATGAGTCACAATAACGTGGCTGAAGTATGTTGACCAGACCACACACTAGAAGGTGAAGGAACGACGACGTTTCGGTCCGTCCTGGACCATTCTCAAGTCGTTTGAGAATGGTCAAAACGTCGTTGTCCCTTCATCTTCTAGTGTGGTCTGATCAACATATCTATTCTTACATTTTAATCTGCAACAACATTACTTCAATTCCCATTTTTATAATACAAGGTGACAGCACAGTATTCAGTATCAAATACGAATCAAGAAAAAACAAGAAAGGAGAGCATCACACACTTAGACACAGAAGAACAATGACAAAGGGAAAAGAAGTGACAAAAGGAGTGCCAAGAAACCTCATACTGTCGCCGAGAGGAGGAAAGCTGATGGGACACCATCAAAGAAGCACACCTGAAAAATGGTGATAAAGATGCATAAAAAAATTCAGACACTAAGAGCAGAGGTCAAACCAGCAAAGTATGTCATTTTGCCAACATCTCCACCTCGACCATAACAGAAGTGAAGCCGTAGAAAAATGCCCGGGTTCAGACACTGAGCAAGCAGCTTCTGAAACCAAAACTGAAATCATTCTGGCCACCAGGAAGCCAGAATGATCACCCTCCCCTGGTAGGACTCCAAACAGGATCTGAAACAATAGCCGGATCACTGGAAAGGTAAAGGAACCCCCCCCCCCAACCTCGACCAGTCCAGCTGAAAGGCATCCAGAGCTTGAAACGTTCCAAGGAACGGAGCAGCATACAAGGAAAAGCACTGATTCCATGCAGGTGCAAAGAGGTTCCTGTCCAGGCACACAAACATCCTACAAAGCCACAAGGAGGAGGTGGCATCGGCGGCACATGCCATTGAAAGAAGAAACTGGGACAGACTGCCTGCGAGAACATTGGACACTTCCTAGACTTTAACTGCATGGAAAACCAAATCCAAAACCCAGCAGATAAGCTACACAATGTGTCCAGCTCCAAAGAGACCGGGTCAAAGCAAATGCCTCCAGTTGAGAGAGTGAACTTTTACAACCCTGGGTCCAGTATTGCACTGTGGAAGGTGGACCACAGACGATGTAGGGACCCTTCACTTATGTATGTATTTTAGTGCAAGGCTGAAGGTGGGGAGATTATTCGGTGATAATGATATAATAAAATATATTATTAAATGATAGAGCTAGTCAGTTAGATTTGGCAGTAAGGAAGGAATGTATGTGTTTATATAAAGGAGGGTTCACCCCAAAATGGCGGGCAATTGTCTTTCCCAGACGGAGCATTTTGAGGCTACTAGTTTTGTAGTTACACTGTGATAATAATTTGTTAGTGTAGTGTATTGTAAAGCTAGGATGTTACATTTATACTTAGAACTGCAGGGTGGCAATTTAATATTGTATTAGTAGTAGTAGTAGATATTCTGGAGTGTCTGGAGACATCCTCTAATATTGTATTAGAGGATAAGTAAATGGGTACTGTGAGATCAGCTGCTCAACCCAGGCAGCTAGCCACATGGCAAGTGTGGAGATATGGCAAGTGTGGAGATATGACTAGTGTGGAGTAAAGAAGATATTAACCTTGAGTATCCATCACCCCTCTTGCATAGGGTTAGACGATCTGTTCTAGATTACAAACCATATTTATATATATAATTCTGGGAATTGTTTTCCTTGTGGGCCGGGCTTATCCTAACCCCTTTAGGTGGTACTCCAGTACCTGGTTGTAACCCTAGTGGGTCCCCCAACTTATAACGTGACGGACGAGTCTGAATGGAGCTGGAACATAGAGGAATCTGAATCCTCCAGAGAGCATACCACACTGCTGCAAACACCCGAACCGTACTATGAACCCAATGAAAGAGAGGAGACCAATGACCCTGGTCAGCTTGGCGACTGCTGGTCACCAAACCCCAACCCAGAGCCGAGGCATTAGTGAAGAATGTCGAGCAAAGGCAGAGGAAAGCATCATGGAACTGAACCCCAAAAGCCCAAAGAGAAAGTTGGCGATGTAACAGCCAGCAAAGGGCCAACTGGGCCCGCACCCTAAGGTTGCATTGGCGGTGAAAGGAACTGACCCAGGGATACCAGAACAGCTGCAGGAGCCCCACAATGCCAGATAAAAAAACTGTGCAGGCAAAGCTCAGGGTCCCTCTTGAGCAGCCGTTGAGTTACCCGGGACCAACTCAACAGCAACAGGCAGCAGTGCCGCAACCAGGTCAAGGCTGTGGGAAGCGGAGAAAGCGACTGTATGAGAACTGAGGCCCAGCAAAGTCCAAACCTGGGGCAGAACTAATTGGGATCTCTGCCAGTTCACCAGGATAGTAAACCTAGCAAGTGAGAAAGAACCAGAGCCATGGCTAGCAGATACACAGACCGGTTGCAAGCCCCACACCAGCCAGTCATCGAGGTAAGCCAAAACACAAACCCCCAACAAAGATGGTCCATGACGATTCAAGCCAAACGTGTATACATGCGCATAGCCAGATTGTGCCCAAATGGGAAAACTGAAAGGGGTAAGCCTGCCATACCACTATAAAACCTTGCCAATCCCTGAACCCCAGATGTATAGGGATGTGCCAATAGAGGTAGGGACACCATACAAGCATTCACTTCTAGTATGAGACTAACTTGGGACTAGGCAATCATCAGGAATGAGGGGCAAGGAATGAACGGGTCAGCTACAAAAGGGGCAAGGATGAACCAGTGGTGTAGTGGATCCTTTTTCTGGACCAGGAAGAGGCAGGAAACCCAACGAAGTGATGGAGCTATTTCAATCATGCCACAAGCCACCCACTCCAAGGTGACCCAATGTAGGTGAGGAAAGAAAGCCTACCAGGAAAGACCTGACAGTGTAGGCAAGGAAAGAAAGCCTACCAGAAACACCAGAACCCACTGAAGGGGAGGAACTGACCAACCCCATAGCAGGCCACGGGAAACAACCCAAAAAGCCTACAAATTGCGGTACCAGGAGCCAGCAAACCAGGCGAGCCACTCCCATCCCACCACTGTCCCGTCAAAGGAGTGAATCACGAAAGGGTAGATGGCAATTCCCCAGCTTAACCCGACTGCCTCAAATAACTAGAATTAAAACAACAACAAAAACAGAGGGAAAAAAAGGAGAGGTGAACAGGAGAGCAAGGGCTAATGCTGAATCCAAAAAAAGGGTAAAAACAGCCTGTTGATATGAGAGTCAGATGGTGAAGAACGTGGCCACTGCTTTGTGGAGCATGGGCAGATGACTTCGGAAAACCAAGTCACTCAAGGCGCAGCCAAAGCAGCAACAGCAGGCGCCAAGACCCCACACATGTGGGCCCCCACCGAGTGTTCCATACCCTAAATGAGCTAATCAGAATGCAACTCAATGAGACCCAGAAACACATGATGGAACCCAAATGCAAACAAGCACAAGAGTTATCTGCCACAAGCACCACCAAGAGAAGAACCTGGGCAAGGAGCGGCACGAGACACACGGCCTTAGAAAAAGCTGAAGCAAACAGGCAGTCATCAAGAGGCACAAAAGAATGGCCCCAGAAATATCTGCAGCATGGTCGACACCACACGCCACTCCAGCATGTGGGTATGATAAGCACCAAGTGAAAACAAGGGATTGTCTGCCAGCTAGAAAAATACTGGAACCCTGTAACACATCCAGGAAGGAGAAGACCTAAACTGAAAAGAGGAAGGATCCATCAACGAGGCATAAACTGGGTCTCGCAGGAAGTGCATAAAGAGCCTCCTGAACTGCCACAGGTGGGACCCGAGAAGGAAACTTCCTTCTCTTAATGCTTTGCACCAAAAGGCACACAGAAACAAATCCTTGGGAAGCCACACACAAATCATACCCATACAGGGAGGGTGGATATGAACCTCCCCCCTCCCCACAAAAGGCTAAACCCAAATTCATGATGGGAATCAGGAAACCATGTAGAGTCGAACGACACCAAAGGGACCAAATCCAACTTCTCCCAATCCCCAAAAGCTGCATTCGAATGCCCAAGGGCAGAACCAGCATCGTAGCCCACCACTCGGTATTAGAAAAGCAGAGTCCTAGGGAGAGACTTCAAAGGAAGAAAGGGCTGACTGAAAGGAAAACCCAGAAGCCCCAGTGGGACTAGCAGGCTCAACTGCCTCTGTGCCTGAATCAGAAGGGGCCAACCCTCTGAGCTGACAGAGCCACATCCACAGCTAAACCCTCTCCCGACCCAGAAACCTTCAGATGCATCAGGGCCAGAAGCAGGGGAGGAGGATTAAAGGGAGGTCAAACCACACCTATAAGGGAAGGAAGAGGTGGTGTGAATAGAACCAAATTGAAGTTCACCAACACCCCAAATTCCAGGTCCCTAAACACAAACCAAGGCAACTCCAGGGCATCCAACTGGGCGCACAACTTGCAATCTAGAAAAAGTAACATGCAAATTGGTTGCTGCTTGGCAAGCCCTAACCTCTTCAGGAGGGGCCACAAATATGAGTTATTTGGGGAGAGAAAAAAACCCAAGACCCAGGGTCGAAGGCATCACCAACCCAACAGGTGAATGTAGAAAGAATGAACACTGCTAATTGGCACCAACGACAAGCAATCCTTAAACCTACATGAAGTGTGAGCACATTCAGGGGGAAATATCTACAGGACTACCGAAACACAAGGGATTTCTAGAGCCTGAAGGATAAACCCAAGCAAAACACCCTGGCATTGGGATCGCTATGCTGGACCCAAAAGTAAGCCGACATAACCTGGGCAACGTGCCTTTTAGCGCGATACCTTGGCGTGCTGAAAGAAGCGCGCATTTTGCCAGTGTGCCCCGCCAGCCAAAGTCAATCCCAATCCAAGTTCAGACAGAAATGTTCGAAGGTGCCTGACTCACCCAGAGTGAGGCCCACCACATGCAAAGAGAACTTCTACAGAAGCAGCTACTGAACACTCCTGGGAAGATAACCCTGGCAATGCAAGGACAGCACTAGGGAGCACACGGAGAAGATAAACCTACACACATGTACAGTAGCTCCAAGCTTAGTCAAAACTTGACTAAACTACACCAGTGTACAGGAAATGCAACCAAGGGCAAACACCATAATTTAGTTGAAAAAGCAGAACAATGGAGCCAGCATGGAAGAGTGGGGACCTAGTAAACTACATCAGCTATAGAACTGGGACGCCAGCTGGCAGTGAGCTACCTGCCCCCAAACGAGTGGGGAAGGTAGAGTGAGTGAGCTTGTGCAAGTTCAAAGAGAATTCAATTGCTTGTTTACATAGCTGAAGGGGAAGGAGGGGGGTTCTTTAGGTGGATTTAGACGCTTCGATCTCTTGTGAAGCCAGCAGTGGTTTGTGTTGATTTGCTAACTTTCTGGCTGGCTTCCCCAGTCAGGTGGCAAAAATAAACGTCACTGCTCCCTGTGCCTCTGCAAGTCAGTCAGGTGTGGCACTGATCCCTGGTAGGCCTATGGAACTCCATGTCTGATGCGACCTAGTAGATGGTACCATCTCATAATACAGTAACTTCAGGGAGCCACAAGGGGATCCTCCCAGAAAAAGACTACATCTGAGAAATCTGTTTCATAAACAATTTTAAATGTCCTTAATAGGAATTAGGTATGTCACCAAGAATTAAAACCCCAATCCTACATAGGCATGACACCACTGAGAAACCTGCCTGGTCGCCTGATGCTCAAGTTGTGCCATAGAATTGTCAACACACTCGCCCCAAGCAGCGACGTCTGTCATTTTTCCAGGGGGTGGTGGTGGTAACTCGTAGCGCTTCATACTCAGCGTGTCCATTGGCTGTCGAGCAGCAACACGCTCGAACTCACAACGCATCACCTCCGTCTATAGATAATAAATATAGTACAGTTTATATTGGTTAGTTGAGATGGTCTTTAAATAATCTTAGATGATAAACAGGGCAGCAACAAGTACAGTACTTCCATAATATATATTTGTGGTACTGTGAAGAAAGACAACTCTAATGCAAAATGTTACCCGCCAAACACACAACAAAACTACCACGTTGCTACAACGTTCGAACAAGTCTTAACACCTAAAAGTTGTAACAACATTCTAATACATCATAAAAACATTATAACAAGATGTAACAACTTTACTACAAGTTTTAACAAGTGGAAAATAGGGACAGTTACATTGTGTGTTTGCAGGGAAAGGAACCCTGTGCACTTGATAACATTGAAAGGATTCAATGTCATTGAGTCTCATGAATCAAAACTCTGACCACAAATTCAGGAAAAAGGTTGACCAGATGCAACATTGATGAGAGAGAAGATACACTATGTATATATTACAGTATATGCCTCAAATTCACATTAAAGGTAACAACATGCTAATTATGACCCCATATGGCAACAAGCATAATTTTGTTTAGAAGGGTAAATCATTATAATGGCAAAAATTTTGCACATTTAACTGCATAACCTTGGAGAAGGAAATATATAGTAATGTTCAATATATTGTTTAATAAGAGATCTTGAAAGACAGACCCACAAAGGTGTTAAGGAAAAACCTAGGATAGTAGTCTAGGCCACAGAGACCAAATTGCTTGAAGTTCTGCAGGAGCCATAGATACAGTGACCGAGAAACTGTGAGACTTGTGCGGCGCTATCTGATGCGGAGATACACACACCTTACAATTTGTGAGAACATGAGTCAGGACAGTAGAGAGAGGAGAGGTAATTTTGCAGCATGAGACCAAGGACTCGAGCTTAGACGAGAGGTCACACAAGCTGATCAAGCAATTTTCTTTTGAATTGGATCATTCTGGTAAAGGGGGAGCTACCAAAGACTTGAGTTAAGAGATGTACACAAGGTTAATGAAATGTTTGCAAGAATGAATAGAAACACACACACACACACACACACTACCTAGTAATATGCAGACTTACCTCAAAGGCATTTAAATTAAGTGAAGGAAGGTGCTCCAAATAGTTCTTGGTGGGTCGGTAGCGCTTCTTTTCGTCTTCCACCATTGCAATGGCCTGAAAACATTACGTAACCATTGTAAATATGCTGTAAACAATAAACACAATAAATACGATACTGCTATGTATTAATAATAAATATAACTTACATTAACACATTTCAAAATTAAAATTATTTAAAATAATATTCACTAAAATATTATCATTCTGTCCTAAAGGATTCAGGGCAATAAAAACTCCTTTGAGAAAACAGCTACATCTAGCTACGCTTAACATACAAGTGCTACCTACATTACAAATACCCAGCAGTACACTAAAAAGATACAGAAGGCGAGGGAGGCATTTCTTGTAATCAACTTCCTGCTTCATGCACTTTAACCCTTAGGCTGTGGTCATCATCATACGATGATTCATGGGATATGTTGATCTACCTTTTGAAAATGAGTTTTGAGGCTGGGGACGTGAGAAATAAGCTAGAAGTGGTTAAATTTCTTTGCAGACATGTTCATTTGGTAGTTGTCTATTATATTATAGATAGATATTAAAATTTTGTCAAGTGAAATAGCCCATAGGGCGTGGAAAATGCATCCTGGAGGCATCTCCGGTTGCAATGAATCCCTCACTGCAACAAATTCGAGTTGGTCGCATATAACTCATTGAATTGTTGCTATATAGCTCATTGAATTGGTAAAGCCCACATGAGGTAAGAGCATTCTAGATCTTGTGCTAACATCAAAAGAGGGCATGATTGATCAAATCCGGTTGGGAGAAAAAGTTAACCCCCGCATATTATCACCATACTGTATTTTAAGATGGACAATGAACATAGGTACCCACATAAAGGTCAGAGATGATGAATTTCTAGATTACCATCGAGGAGACTATCAAGGAAAGAGAGGAATTGCAAAACATCTTCTGGAGGGAGCTGATAATTAAACATGGCATGGAAGCATCATGGCAAAACTTAAAGAGGGTCATCACAGAACTCGTTCAAAAATGTGCCAAAGAGAAAGAAAAGAACTCTGTAGTAATCAGTAATCCTTGATAGTCAGTGCTCGTAAAACGAGGACTGACTACTAAGCGGCTCTGGAGAATGTATAAACCCACCATGGACAACACTGATTACGAGATACAGAGCCACAGAGACGTTAGAAAGAATTTTTTCAGTGTCAGTAGTTAATAAATGGAATGCTCTAGGAAGTGATGTGGTGGAGGTTGACTCCATACACAGTTTCAAATGTAGATATGATAGAACCCCCGCAAGCACAATTAGGTGAGTACAGTATACAAAAGAGCACTAAACTCAGCCACCCAAGAATTCATATCAGCCAAAAGAAACTACGAAAGGAAACTTGCCTGAAACAAAGAAAGATCCAAAATCATACTACGCTTATATAAGAAGTAAAACAAAAAGGACTCAACAGGACTCTTACAACATGAGACTTACCAAGTTATAATGGACAATAAAAGGGCAGCAAACACACTGAATGAGTATTTTACATCAGTGTTCACACTAGAAAGGTAGAAAGGTTGGATGACATCCCATCACACACACAAATGTTTGAAGGAGATGAAGAGAATGAATTTAGGGATATACCTATAACATGTGACAATCAGGAAGAACATTGACAAATTGAAAGACTCAAAAGCTCCAGGTGTGGATGGAATCCAATCCAAAGTTATAAAGGAACTGGCAGAAGAACTATGCCTACTGCTTAAATAAGGTTTTCACAAAATCTCTGGACCAAGGGTTAGTCCTCCTAGATTGGAAATGTGCAAATGTCACCCCTTATTTGAATAAAGGCAGAAAATGCTCAACAGAAAATTACTGTCCAATTCGCTTGACATCACACAAGCAAGCTTACCGAGAGAATCGTTCACCATCTTTCATTGAACAATCTTGTAAAATCGACTCAACATGGGTTTGTTAAAAATAAATCGTGTCTTCCAAACCGGCTCAAGTTTTAGGAAACAGTAACCAGCGTCTCAGACAAGAGACTTCTGGTGGATGAAATATACATGGATTTTGCTAAAGTCTTTGATAAGGTACCATATGAAAGACTGGCAAGGAAATTACAGGTTTGTGGAATAAATGGTAGAATACTAGAATGGATAAAACAATGATTGAAACAAAGAAAACAAAGGGTTGTACCTGTACTAAATGGGAATGAATCCGACTGGAGGAATATGGTAAGTGGGGTACCTAAGGGGTCCATTTAGGGGCCAACCCTTTTTGCCATTTACATCAATGACACAGATGAGAATATTACAAATCACATCATCAAATTTGCAGACGACACAAAGATATATGATAATGTGGAAAATAATAACAATATTGGAACCATACAAAGAACTCCCACAAATGGTCAGAAGACTGGCATATGGGGGGGGTACCTTCGACAAGCCGCCAGCTTCTTGTCCTCGTCGAAGTCACTAGTGTTAGAGGCCCTTGGGTAAATTCAGGAATCAAGTTTGCACTGTACTTCTTAACTAAGTGGTATCCTAGAGGGATTCCCTTTTATGAATGAGATTTATGGGTAAAGGAGGACAGGTAGCATCAGGGAAGGAGAGGTAATGGCAGGTAGTGTCAGGGAAAGAGATAAGGGAAATTAGAGATAATGGAGGATATAAGGGGGTAAAGACAGTGCAGGAGATACACAAGTGGAGGTAGTAGTAAGCATCCATCAGTCTCAGGAGTATGAAGGGAGTTATCAGGGGGGGAAAGTGCCAAGCCCTTACGACTATATAGCATTTGGAAGGGATCATAATAAATATTTGGAATTGGACGGGGTGAAAGGAACAACTACTTGGAACTTTTTGTTCAGAGTAGCTGAATCTAACAACAATAAAACAACTAGGACCACATACCGCTTCCCTCACTCCTGGCTCCTCATACCCGGTGTCTATATACGGCAGAGCGTCCACAATCACGTCCTGACTCATCTTGCTCTCTTACAGCCACGGGGGCTACCACTGCACCACCTAGGGTTAGGTACCACCCTAACACGGGTGGAACACGAACAAGAGACCACAGGTGGAAACTTAGTACCCAGATGAGCCACACGGACGTTAAAAAGAACTTGTTCAGCGTCAGAATAGTTAACAGATGGAATTCTTCTTCTTCTTGATAGTAGGTGCAGTTTGCATGAAGTGTTTGTCCTCCCGATGACTGCACCAGTACAGGTGTTGGTACAGGCGTTTATGTTGAGGATGATAAGAGTTTCAAAAGTGTTTGTTGCGTTGTGGTACAGACAGAGGAGCGGCGACTAAAACAGAGGTGTGTGTTAGAGGGAGACTTGCCGCACCATAGGGCGGTGTGTTGTGTTTATGGCGTCAGCTGATCCATGGTGCTGTGACGAGGCGGTTGTGTTGTGTTTAGCTGTTGGCGGCCCGCGGCTGGTCAAGTCGTCTACTACAGTTTCGGATACCGCGCTAGTAACACCTTCGTTCACTGAGAAGTTCGTACATACAAACCATTTCGTTCATATATGCGCTGGTTTGTGTTCGTTAGAATAAATACATGGCACTTGATCATATAATTAGCGCTTCCATTAACAGTGCTTAGCGCACTGTTTGTATTGCTGTGTTTGATAACAAAGCGAACTATTATAAGACAAGAGAAGGGAAGAGAACTATCAGGGGAGGAAAGCGCTAAGCCATTAAGACTATATAGCACGTGGAAGGGGTCAGCTTAAGGATTTGGGATTTAAATTGAAATAAGTGTAACGTACGTTTAGGTTACGTTGTTAGGTAGATTAGATACACATTGTTTAGTGAGTTTTCATATTTATTTAGTAGTCTTGATTACAGTACTAATCTTGATTTAGCAGTCTCCGTGGTGTAGTGGTAAGACACTCGCCTGGCGTTCCGCGAGCGCTATGTCATGGGTTCGTATCCTGGCCGGGGAGGATTTACTGGACGCAATTCCTTAACTGTAGCCTCTGTTTAACTCAACAGTAAAATGTGTACTTGGTTGTAACAACGATTCTTCGCGGAAAAAAAAAACAAAAAAAAAGTAATCGGTTGGCGGCATTAATTGTCGTAAACGTTCAGACGGAGCTTGGAGCAGAGCAGAAAGCTGAGTGAGGCCGGAGTCACGGAGCTCTATGTGGGAGAGCGTGGCGGCTCGATTGGGAATTGTGAGTGTCTGAACTCGGGGAGCGAGAGCGTTGTAGCTCGATGCGGTCGTAGTCTGCTGTCTGCTCTGTGTCGAAGCTGTAGCGTCTGTGTCGATTAGAACTGTACACGCCGAGTGCTACATTGTTGACTGTGGAAATTGTCCTGTTCGCTATTCCGAAGATGAAGAAGATGAAGCCACCCAAAAGGTGGCATGGGCATGAATAGCCCGTAAGTGGTGGTCTTTTGAGCCATCACCAGTATCAATCGATGATACTGGAGATCTGTGGAGGTGCGACTGCACCCTGTGTGACGGGAGATGTCTCTCGTGTGAATGTGTTAAGATGAAGATGAAGCCACCCAAAAGGTGGCACGGGAATGAATAGCTCGTAAGTGGTGGCCCTTTTGAGCCATCACCAGTATCAATAGATGATACTGGAGATCTGTGGAGGTGCAACTGCACCCTGCATGACGGGAGATGTCTCCCATGATCAATAGATGTACTGGAGATCTGTGGAGGTGTGACTGCACCCTGCGTGACGGGAGATGTCTCCCGTGTGAATGTGTTAAGATGAAGATGAAGCCACCCAAAAGGTGGCACGGGCATGAATAGCTCGTAAGTGGTGGCCCTTTTGAGCCATCACCAGTATCAATAGATGATACTGGAGATCTGTGGAGGTACAACTGCACCCTGCGTGATGGGAGATGTCTCCCGTGATCAATAGATGTACTGGAGATCTGTGGAGGTGCGACTGCACCCTGCGTGACGGGAGATGTCTCGATCCCGTGTCGCTATTCCGATTGATTGATTGATGAAGATTAAGCCACCCAAAAGGTGGCACGGGCGTGAATAGCCTGTAAGTGGTGGCCCTTTTGAGCCATTACCAGTATCAAGAGTTGATACTGGAGATCTGTGGAGGTGCGACTGCACCCTGCGTGACGGGAGATGTCTCCCATGGTCGTCGCTATTCCGATTGATTGATTGATAAAGATTAAGCCACCCAAAAGGTGGCACGGGCATGAATAGCCCGTAAGTGGTGGCCCTTTTGAGCCATTACCAGTATCAAGAGCTGATACTGGAGATCTGTGGAGGTGCGACTGCACCCTGCGTGACGGGAGATGTCTCCCGTGGTCGTCGCTATTCCTCATATCGCTTGCTTATATATGGTGACTACACCTCAGCTTCCTCCAACAAGATGAGAAGAGTATTACCAGTAATTGGGAAAAGGATTGTAGCTTCTGTAATTAGTGCTAATTAGTTATGCTATTAAGATAATGAGATAATGGAGCGAGTATAAGATTTACTCGCTACAGGACTCCCCCTGCCAGGAATGGAAGAAAAGCAATACAACAAAAAATACGAGGCTACTGTTCCCTGGGTCGCTGTGGAACATGTAGTCCGGTACCAAAAGATGCAGGCAGTGTGTGGACAAGCTCGGTGTAGCAGGAGAGAAGAATGTGCATGACTGTTCTGTCCTTGGGTCACTGGTGGAGCTTTCAGATCCGGGGCGGATGGGCTCGGGCACGAGGACAATAGGAAGTAATGTAGGCATGTAGTTAGGACGAGGGAATCACTGCAAGAGCTGAATTGTCCTGGAGGCTGTTAATGATTTGATGTGTCTGCTATGGGGGATCTAGTATTAATTTGGTGTAGGGCCAGCAGTTAGCGTTCAGATGTATCAAGTATTGGAGATCTTAAAGGCCCGGCCCCCAATGAAAATATATGAGTAATACTTATAGTGGCTTACTGAGATTGTCAGCCTAGAGGTAGATCATAGATCTCCTACACAGGAAGAATGGATACTCCTTTAAGCTAACTTACTTATTAATTAACCCCTTAACAACCCCCCATATACATTCACACCAATAACAATAATAACTTTACCACACCATCTTACGTCAAAAGCCTTGGTCCACATAAGCAGGATACAAGGTTTTACAATGAGCACAAGCTAGGGTAAAGTCTACTAGGCAAGGGACACTAGCAAGGACTCTAGGTAGCTTACTGGTACTACTGGAGCCCACGTGGTTCCACTGGGACCCCCTTAGAGCAACTTAGTAATATAAATACTAGTGATCACCTGTCTCAAAACTTGATACATTAATTGTAAGTGACTCCTTATCATCCTTAAATGCTCTCAACTCTTTAAGACATAACTGTAACATGCTCGTGTCCGAAGCTAGACACAAATACAACCAAATTATATTACGGATGGTAACAGAGTCCATTTCATGTGGTCTCCATCTCATGTTGGCCTCCGAATGCATGATAGAGCTGATAAGTTAGCCAAAGAATCTGCCTTTAAAGGAGCCGTTGAGTGTAACCTTGGATTGTCAATGAGCAATCTGAGAGCAGCAGTACACCGAGAACTTCAACAAGATCTTGTAGATCTGAGGCAAAGTGAAATTGACACCAGTAATTCCATCTATCATCATACTATCATGCAAGAGGAGCCACACATCTATGGATCATCCAATAAAATCAGCAGACTTCTAGATGTTACTACTGCTCGGCTTAGACTCGGTTACAAGTATCTCTGGGAATTCTCATTATCTGCTGATGTAGACCTGACCAAATGTAAACTGTGTCAACAAAATTATTCGCACACCCTCCGTCACTATGTGATGGAGTGCGAAAAGATACGTGAATTTAGAGACAATTCTATAACCAATGTTCCAGCGATGTGTCAATATTTCATTCAAAATGATCTGCTACCAGAAATTTTAGCCAAATATCCCCAGTTTGCTAACTGTAGGTAGTAACTAAGTGATTGTAACCTATCCACCGCTGCCCACTGGATGGGGGGGCGGTGTGCAGGACAAACATAAATTTTGACACTAGCTCTCCACATATGTCAGTTGCTTAATTTAGAACCTGTACTTGAGGTCGATCTCGAACCCATTGTTGATGTGATGACTTATATTGAATTTTGTTACTAGCTCATCAAGATTGTAACTTGCTTAGCTAAATGAATTGTGGGGGTTCAGTCCCTGAGCCCATTATGTGCCTCTGTAACCCTTTCCACTACCGCCCACAAGACGGGTATGGGGTGCATAATAAATGACCTAAACTAAGTGATCACCTACTTAATACACAATAATACTCTACACATAGACACGCTTATGCCAGAAAATGTTAACACCACTCAGTACTTATCTTGGTAAACTAGACACAGAAATAGGTAAGGGAGAGTAGCAGGAAGAAGGGGAAAAGGTTGCTTTCACCACGATGCCAACCCAGAAAAGGAAGCTAGCCATGAGTTTCAGCTCCCACCAGCTGACTCGCCGCCGACCGACTACTCAGCTAATCGTACAGCGGCCCTATATCCAAGTTTACTCAGATCTACTTTCTAATCATTTGTAAACATAGTTGATGCCTATTTTATTAATTAATAATCAACCACCAGCTCAGTCTTTAAATGCTCTGTGAGAAACAAGAATCGTCTTATGTCTGGCAGGGAAGATACAAACAAACACACGTCGCCTAGCGCATCACATAATATAAAGTAGATTATTTAGCTCAGTTTGACCTCTGGATTCCAACTGAGGAACCCAGGGTCGTAACATGTACTCCTCCCCCCTTCAGAGAAAACAAAATGTGGCTACTAGAATAGTAGTCATATTTCTTTGTAAGAGTATACAGAGAATAAAAAGGAAAATCTATGACAAAAGAAAATAAATCAAAAACAACAATTTCTCTGCAAGAAAAGTACAAAGGAATTCTCTGAAAGAAAAACACATACACACACAAAAAAAAGGGAAGTAAATAAATTGGACACGAATATTTAATGTCACAGGAGAACCTATAAAAAAATAATTAAGCATGACAGTTGGTATATGGCTTCCTGTGGCCCAGATGAATGTTACTCAGGCAACCGGGACAGAGCGTCGGCTATCACGTTGAGCCATGATAGCCGGCCCGGTAGGTGGATAATGGAAAGATTGATGTCCTGTAGGTACAATGCCCACCTGAAGATGCGTTTATTTTTTTCCTTCATCTGACTCATAAAAACT